TCAGTCTCGAAGTACATTGTTGCCATTCTTCAATGGGGAGGGTGACGCCAAGGTCAGCCTCCCATGCAATCATATAAGCTAGTTTCATAAATGGCCCGAGTAGTATGGCGTATATTACGGAAATCCCCCCCCGTTGGTCGGACCCCCGCAAGCACCACCACTTGAATGGTGTCATTAAGTGGGTACCACTTTCTGGGATACACAACGATTTCAAGTAGTGCTGTATCTGTCTAAATCTAAACATTTCAGTCTCCGGCATATGTAAAGTATTTAAGCAGTAAGACAACGAAATTGGTTTGTGTAGCAATATAAAGTCTCCAATCCTATACAGGCCCTTGTTCACCCACCATTGAAATGCTTTAGGCTGTAAACCCGGTATAAAGCATGTATTGTTGAACAGTGGTGCAAGGGGGGTATGAGATGAGACAATCCCTTCTTTGACCCGGAGCCTATCCCATATAGCCAGGGAATGCGCCAAAGTAGGCAGAATATTTTTCGGTCTCTGCCTAGTAGTCATCCATTTCAGTGCCTCAAGAGATATACCCCTGAGCGAGCTAACTTCTAATTTAGCCCAATCAGGGATAGCGGTAGCAGAGTGTAGAGAGTGCAACTGCGTCAGTTGTGCCGCTCTATAATAATAAAGTAGGTTTGGAACCGCTAATCCCCCCTGTTGTCTAGGTTTATAAAGAATTAGTGCGTGAGATTCTGGGGTTTTTATCACCCCAGATAAATTTACCAATGTACGACTGCATTCTAATAACATCTCCTCGTTGGAGCGGAATTGGTAAGGTCCTAAAATAATATAAAATTTGGGGAGTTAGGGTCATTTTAATCGAGTGAATGCGCCCGAGCCAGGATAGATTATAGGTGGACGATCTTTCCATGTCTTCCCTAAGGGCTTTATATAATGAGGGATAATTGGCTGTGTAAAGTTGCTCATATAGCGGAGTAATCTTAACACCTAGATATTGAATAAAATCCAGTCTCCATTGGAATGGGAATGAGCCCTTGAGAGCCTCCCACACATTCATTTGAAGATTAATATTAAGTGCCACAGATTTAGAAGCATTGACTCGGAGTCCTGATATCTTGGAAAATTCGTCTAACAGGGCCATCAGATTGGGGAGCGAGACAAGGGGGGAGGTCACAAAGAGTAACATATCATCGGCGAAAAGTGCACATGTATGTACCTCTGACTGGCAGTTGATGCCTCTGATAGTGCAAAAAGCAACGGTTAGAGGGGACACCCTTGTCTCGTCCCCCTGCGTTTTGGAATAGATTCTGACAAATAGCCCTGTAGGCGAATCTTCGCCGATGGGGAGGAATATAACACTTGAACTATATGTAGAAAGTGAGGTCCAAACCCCCAGCGTTTTAACAGTTGCTGCAGGAAATCCCAGGAGAGCGAGTCAAATGCCTTCTGAAGGTCAATAGAGAGTAGCATACCATTTTGAGGGTGGGAGCCCCTCCAAATGGTATGCTAATTAAAAAATGTTTGATCAGTACTCACCTCTCCGCCGGCTTCCAGGTCTTCCGGGAGTCCAGTCGCAGATCCGGTGACGTCACGGACATCGATGTCACCGGACTCCTCCCCCCTTCCTCAAGTGGCTCTGTCGGCTAACGAAGAGAAGGGGGATATGTGATCACTCATAAATAAAATATACTTCAAAATAAAAAAAATAGCCAGATAAACTAGTCAAAAACAACTACAGAAGGTCAGAAGTATTGAAGTACGTGTAACCCAGCAATTAGTTAGAGGTGGTATGGGTTAAAGGGTGGTTGTATGGGATGGGGACGTTATAATTAATCGATTAAAAAAAATGTGATTAATTGAACACGAAAATTTTAATCATTACCAGCCCTATTGCATTGTACTGTGCCGTTCTGTGTAAGTGCCTGTTCTGGGGTCAGCTTACTGCGTACCAATCTTCTTAGGTTCAGTGGTTGCTTGAAAGCCAGTTTTGGGGGCTGAGGGAATATTTATTTAAGTATGGGGTCTTCTGAGAGTACTGGCTGTAGGTCTTTGATTATTTTGCGTATTACCTCTAGAGTGGGGTTGTAGGTAACTACAAGAGGGGTTTATATGGATAAAATGCATATATCCATTTTATTATATGATTGCATATAGTACTGTATATTTGTATATTTTTTGCACAGGTATGTTCGTACTTTAATCTTTACCTATAGAGTTTATGTAATTTTTATAGTTTTAGCTCTTCCATATAGTGTGGTGTGTAGTTTGTAGCGCTGTAGATTTTGATATAAAAATAGTAACCTTAATAAGACTTGTAGATCCCATTTAGCTTGAATTAATACATCTCTATAGTCATTATTACATCCAATTTTTATAGACTCATGGTACTGTTTGGCATGGAGAATTTGGTGTTGAAATATTTGGTACTGGTACTCTCCATTTAACAAGAATGGGAGATACCATCTTTGCTGAAATAACCACAGCCTCACCATTTAGTGCAGTGTGAGATCTGTTATACTTCTTTGTTAAAGCAAATCTACCAAGAAAATCCAATTATCATCAGAACTAATGGCTTATGACAACAGTGCAGGCAATTTTCAAACTCTTTTGTTAACAACTTTTATTAAAAAGTAAATTGAGTGGTTTAGATTAACTCTTTGGTCTTTATCTGCTTTGATATTATGTGTCATTCATTAATGTGAGTGCAGTTTGTTCGTTTTGTTGCGGGCAATAGATGTTACTTAAAATGAAAACACCAGCACAGTGTTACTTTCTATGCTAACTGCATGTCCATGTGTTACTAACAGTGGCTGCAAAATGACATATATAAACACAACAAATCTGTGAACATGTTCTTACCTACACTTAAAGGTGTACTGGAAATAAGTCACCTTAAGGCCTTGGTGATGCAAACTCCACATGGAAATACAACTATAGCAGAACCCCACAAAATAGTACCCGATCATGTAAAACCCTGCAGTGGACTTTATTAATAAAAATATTCTGTCCAATAAAAAATTAAATTGCTTAAGACTAACCGCCTTCAGATTCTATTGTTCTTAACATTTTCTTTTTGAGACAGAAATTCAGGATTGGAATGGAATAGCAGGACCAACAAATGGAAGAATATAATAAAAAAATACTGTATTGCCAAGTTATGGTAAACCAAGTAAAGGGAGGTGATTTACTAAATAAGCAATACGTACTTTAGCCCTAGTACTCTTTGAAGCAATTACTTGTCTATTCAGGTTTAGTGGAAATTTCTATTTTTTTGTTCTCTCTTAAAGCACATCTCCATGTAGCAAGTACTAATATGGCCATGCCTTCTTCTCCACTTCTGTAATCTCACCTATTTTTTTTCATTGCTGTGCCCCAGTATATGGATTTGTGCTCTTTTTAGACCTTTGTGACTTTATCACAGGGGCTAAAAATTGTATGCAGCTGCAGGGGGCAAGAGAATGCTCCATTATGTTATTTTCTAGCAGTGTAGGGTGCCCCACAGAGTGAGTAACAACAAAGCAGGGTGGTGCTGGGAGTGTAGTTGATTGGCTAAATCCACTTCTCTGTGGCAGCACTAATGTCAGGGAGCTACAAAGAGCTGATGAGGTGATAGGTCACCCAGCACACAGGGAGCTGGCTAGAGTGACCATTCTTCTCCACATGTAACTGCCTCCCTGTATGTATAAACAGGCTGCATTGAAACCAGGATTTAAAGATAATGTGCCAAGAAATAGAAAATAAACAAACTGGTGGATTGCTTCTGAATGAGGTGAGAGCTGCAATTTATTACAATTTTATTGTGACTGGAGTTGGGCTTTAAATAAATTGTGTGTTTTAAAGGAGAACTATGGGGTCAGTGTTTTCCCCCATAGTTCTCCTTAGGGTAACGGGAGGACACAAACTAGCGTCCTCCCATTACCCTAAGCTCAGTATACCGCGAGCTACAGCTCGCGGTATACTGAGTTCTTTAATAAAACAAGCATATTTAGTAAATCATTATTTTCAAAAAAATTGGCTATGGTTCAAAGTGTGCTTTCAAAATAACTTTACAGTACAGTATATTTTGAATTTGGATAAATCATATGCAATTGGAATCTTAATTATACTGACTTTAATAAACTGAAATTAGAATTTTGGTCTTTAAAGTAAACAATAAACAGTAATTATGTAAACATGACAAAGGTTTTAAACACAAATTGCAACAAGTGGGCAGCATATTGCTATGAACAACAGGAAACGAACATTTCTGAACAGTGACCATTTTTAATCAGTAACATAATTCTTCTCTTCTGACATGCGGAATATAAGAAGTTTAAGTAGTAGTAAAGTAAATGAAAAATTCACATTGCAGTGCAGCATGCAATAATAAGTTAAGAAGTTGATTGGCCAGAATATATTACAGCCAATCTCTAGAGGGCTTGAGAATTATCTGCGGAACAGGCCAATGTGAGATCTTTTGCCAGATCAATGAAGAGTTCTGCACGTAAACAGCCAGCATTGTTGCGATGTAGACCGATGAAAAAACCTGATAGGATTAGCAACTCAGGAAAGGACATCTGCACTTTTAATCCTTGGAGTTGTATAGATACAAATATTCCTTTCTACACCTATCACCACAAAGGCCCACAATAGAAATTATTTTCCTTTCTTCATTCTTTATTCCCCTTTTCCTTTTTCAACTTTTCATTCCACCCTCTTCTTTTATACTTATGCTTCACATTTCAAGTTTTCCTTACCGAGTTGCTTTTTTCTCTATTCCTGAAACTTTATGCCACTCTTTATATGATCCTTTCCTCTTTTGGTGAAGAGATGGTCTTGCCTCAGAGACAGAACAGACATGAAAATGGTGAGACATCAACAGCTTTGATTGCCTTCACCTAATTTTGTCTTTTTACCCTCCTTTCCCTTTTCCCCACTTTCTTTCTTTCCTTGGATCTCTCTGTCTCCAAATTCCCTCCTCTCTTTCTTTTTCTTTCTATCTCTCCCATTCTCTCTCCTTTTGTCTTCTGTATACCTTCACTTACAGGTCACTATTTCAGTTGATGGGATTCTCACTTCAACTGGTTACACCCAAGAAGACTACACAATGCTGGGAAGTGACGACTTCTTCTACATTGGAGGCAGTCCAAACACAGCTGATCTCCCAGGATCCCCTGTTAGTAATAACTTTATGGGATGCCTTAAGGATGTAAGTATTACAATCATGTTTGTTATGTTAATATATAAGTGAATACATATTATAGTTATAGTTTTGTTTACATCAATAGTCATAAGGCAAAATGTCAAGTAATAATGTGCCATAAGTCTGACTAAAGAATAAAGATTTAGCCCTCATCCCAACTGTGCAAAAATAATGAACCAAATAAAATGTACAGAAAATAAAATACAGTGAATGCACACAGTGGTACTGTGTAGCTAATCAGCATAAACATATCAGAGTATTCCCTTCTAAGCACTACAGTTTAGAGAAATGTATTATTTTTTTACAGATAACAGGACCTTCCTTTTAATATTCCCTTGTCCATATTCATCAATGTTTTTAGGAGAGATGGATCAGGCTTAAATCAACCTGTGCGCTAAAATGTGCTAAACTGACACTTAAATTAAAAGTGAAAAGCACTCGCCTCTAGTTCTCCTTTAAATTAGCCAGGTATGTGAAACAGACATTTTTCTTGTTCTTGCTCCTTCTAAATTCAGGTAAAGTGCAGACTGCAAACAGTTTGAATGTAGGCAACACAATGTTTACACTGGCTTGAGCCTAAGGTAGCAGATTTTAAAGCTCAGTTACTTGGTGTTCCTGGATATATTAATATGGATGTAAACCTTAATGATGGACTGTCTTATTTGCTCACTTTTAGTCAGTAAAATATACAATTGAAAGCATTTGTTATATCTGTTCGATAAGTACAAATTTGTCTGTACTTGCAGTGAAAACAGCATAGGGAAATATGCATGTATTGCAGAGGTGTATTGCAATTTTTTGTTGCAATGCTTTCATCCAGGTAAATTGTTTTGTAAATGCAGTTATCCTTTAAAATTAACGCAATCACATGTAAATGATACCTGATAAATCTTTAAAAACGTTGTCCTTTTGGTATGTATGGTGGTTTCATCAAACATAAACGGTTAGTTCACCACCATTGTTATGAATGTTACAGTTCATCCAAATACGATTCAAATAACTGTGCAGTGAAGTGAAATTTTTAATCCTGAAAATAGCATACCTTTTAGGCCACACGAGGTTTATGCAATTCCCAGCCATAAAGTTTCCAGTCAGTGTAATTGTTTCTGTCTTGGATATAATCCAGGATGGATGGATTGCCGGTGAGCTTGCATCCCAGCATGCAATGCTCACATTCTCCTCTCTCTATCACAACAGCATTGAGGTCACAAGATGAAGGCAAACTATTTACCTCTCATTTATCTACTGAGTGAGAAGCGTATTCATGTGTTTCCCCTGCCCCTCCTGTGCAGGCATGCTGCCATACACTATGAATTATGGGATATGTAGTAACATCCAGGACAAAGAACTACATTGCCTGGACAAAGCTGGACAAACAGCTCCTGCAGCACTTTTTTTAAATTGATCACTAAAATGTACTTTGGCAGAACAGAGAAGAAAGTAGTCTTTTGGGATTAGAATTTTGTACATGTTGTTTTACATTGATAGTAGGTTTATTTACTAAAGATGTTTGTTTTAAACTGTCAAGGGTGAACTAACCAATTAAGGTCAATTTGCATTTTTCACTTCATCTTCCATAATTCTTACTTTTTTCTATTTTTCTTTTAATAAAAGGTTGTCTACAAAAATAATGATTTCAAACTTGAACTGTCCCGTCTGGCTGCTGATGGTGATCCAAAGATGCGATTAAATGGTGATCTTTTATTTCGCTGTGAAAATGTTCCTTCTTTAGACCCTGTTACATTTCAAGTACCTGAGGCATTTTTACAGCTTCCCCGTTGGGAGACCAAGAAAGCTGGATCCATATCATTTGACTTTCGCACCACAGAGCCAAGTGGTCTTCTTCTTTTTAGTCAGGGAAGGCCACGTGCTGGTGGAAATGCACCTGGAACAATTCCCGGAGGAGTTGCCACTGGACGACCTGAAAGACCACCAAAAGCAGATTATTTTGCAGTTGAGCTACTTGAAGGAACACTCTATCTTCTTCTTGATCTTGGGTCTGGTGGAATTAAAGTAAAAGCAAGTCACAAAAAGGTCAACGATGGAGAATGGTGCCATGTTGACATCCAGAGAGATGGCAGAAAAGGTACTTTATAAAATAAATAACCTACGATACAACTGTTTAAAAAATGTCTGCAAGGAATATCAGTATTATGATTAGCTGTGAAATGCTGCTTTAATTGTATACCTTTCTAGCAAAATGTTTTTTACAGTCGGCACTTAGTGCATATTTTATTTATATGCAATAGGTCATTTTGTATCCCTTCAAGTTCATTATTATTCTCCTCCTTACTCCCCTTTAAACCTCTGTTAGGTTTTTGTGCATTGCATGTTCTGTATGGCCTTTCTAAGATGGGCATTTCGATAAGGTACATCTGTCAGTTTATCAAGCATATCTGATTGGAAGCCCAGTGTTAATCAGTGGGCAGCTAGATCCAAATGGATGTGCATCCATTTACATCAAGCTAACCCCATCCAGGTCTGGAAAACAAAACCGAACAGATTTCTGTTTTGGTGAATCTGATTGTGGCGGATCGGGGGTAATCTGATGTAAATTAACACATGAAAACTGGACAGATATGGATATCACAACGGTGACATCCATTCCAAACTGCTCCAATCAGCAGGGGATCTGTTCATGGATCCCCTGCTGATCTGAGCTGACAGGTGCCTGTGTGAAAGGGGCCTATATTTTTCCCAGCTAAAGTTCAGATATGGTTGCAAGCTGTTTGTAAGCCTTTCACTTTTACTGATACTGATAAGTGCCATGTCAGTCTAGTCTAAGATTGATTACACAATTCTCCATCTGACAGTTTGCATAATTAAAGAATAGCCCCTCTAACTGTGTAATCTTTATTTAGGTAATTGATTCTTGTCAAAGTTTCTTACATGAATACTTAAAGTGTACTTTAGTGCTTGGCACAGAACATTTTTTAAAGTGGCTGTGTGTTGACAAGGTCTTACAGCCTATATCAAAGATGCAGTTAAACTTTAAATATTTGTCAAGCAGTTACAAATGTACAAATTTCAGTCATGAAGATCAGTGGTAAACTCTATAAGTCAGGCCATACCTAGAATGATTCAATAATACGAGTAAAAAGACTACCTCTGGCCAAGTAGATCCTTCACAAAAAACCCAAAATTGATCATGGGGACAAAGGGAAAGCAAATCTATTAGATACCTACCTTTTAGCTCCGTGTATACAAAGGTAAAGTGTGGAGCTGATGTAGAAAATCAGTTTGGTATTAATACAACCTCAAGCAACCTCATTGGCTCAAAACGAATATGGTCCAGGAACTTTTAGACAAAAGAAAGGTCAATAAAGCAGATGGACCACATGACTAAAACTCATATGTTCTGAAAGATTTGATCTACATTATATCTAAGCTATAGTTTCTAGTCTTTAGAGACTCTTTAATCACTTTGCATTCAGAGCATTTTTTTTCTAAATTTTTGCAAATATGTTAAAATCTAAACTTTTAGGTAAACTGCTTTAAACCCCCAAACAATCATATATTTTCTGAAAGAAGAGGCTCTGTAGAAAAAAAAAGGGCTAGTTGCAGTTTTTTATGTCACACAATATTTGTGCAACTCAATATTTTTAAAAAATAAAATAAGCCATAAAAAAGCCATTAAAAAACTACGGTATCCTAAATTGCCTATAGGTGACTATTTCAAATCTGTTACCACACATCAATTTAGAGTTAACAGTGAGTAATGACACTAAAATTATTTTTCTTACTCCAATATTCATAGTGATATTTGGCACACATTTTGTTTTTGCAATTGTAATGCTTGTCAAAACTTTTACATATATTTGTTGTCTGATTATTGCAGTAAAGCCCAAGGAAACTGACCCAGTAGTATTTAAAGTACTTTACTATGCAAAAATGCTGCATGCACAAACTTACCGTATTTGCCGCCGTATAAGGCGACTGGGCGTATAAGACGACCCCCTACTTTTTGTGTTAAAATATAGGTTTTGGGCTATGCTCGTCGTATAAGACTAGTATAGCCCAAAATAATGCTTAAATGCACCCACTAACCTCCATGGCGGTATTCCCGAGTGTGGCTCGGGGTTAATTTTCAGTACCATATGCGTTAACCCCGAGCCACACTCGGGATTACAGTCTCTTACTTTGTCCACGATCCCCACAGTGTCCTCCATCATTAATACAAAGCCTGCCGTGTTTGGCTCAGCACTGAGCCAATCACAGCAGGCTTTGTATTCATTAATACAGGCTTTGTATTAATGTATACAAAGCCTGCCGTGATTGACACAGCACGGTATACTGTATAAGACGCTACATACAGTATACACGGCGTGTAAGACGACCCCCGATTTTCGGGCGATGTTTTTGGGTCTAAAAACCCATCTTATACACTGGCAAATACGGTAGTTACAGGAAAAGCAACACAAGACAAACATATAGGCTGCTACAAACAAATATACACATGCACCGACTACACTGAGCAGGGGCGGACCGACCATTCGGGCGCTGCTCGAGGGCCCGCGGCCACGAGGGGGCCCGTCACTGACCCCTCCACTGCCCTTTCACTTCCATCCAGTCCGCATGGATGTATGTCGCAGCATGTCCCCCGGGCTGTTGCCGTTTTAACAATGATGCGTCTCATGGTTTGGTAGGGGCTAGTGGGCGGGGCCTATCTCATGCTGCTCCATGACTGATTCCAGTTCCTTCATTCCCGGGGTCTGGCCCTGTTACTGACCTTTGAAAAGTGTGCCCAGATCCAGGTGAGAAGAGCCCTAAGGTGGTGAAGAGGTGAGTGTCAGGCATGTGCGACAAATGAAGAAAATTGTAAGGGAACCAGCGATTATTACCACATATGTTGTAGCATTGTTAAGGCCATCTTTTTTTAGAACAACAAATAACAAAAAAACAGGCACATAGGAAACAACAGTTATTTGATCAGAAAAATAGATTTCAGCAGTGGGCAGATTGGATTACCACTGTTATCCAGTGATAACCATTGTGGCACTGAAACTGTGATTTGATGATCATTTAAGATCTGTGTTATGTACAGTTGCTGGGTTTAGTAATTCCTGCAATGCGTTGGTTCTGGTCTGTGCCACACACACCAGATCAGAAAGGGGGGGGGCAAGGGTTTGCATACCTCACGTGTGATATGTACCCAAATCGTCACTCCAGTCCTAGATTTTTCAGTTTTCCTGTCAATTCTCCTACTAATTCTCCTGCAATACAGGATAATTGGCAGAACTGAAGAATTTAGGTCAAAATAGCCGCACAAAAATTCTACCATTTAGCTGACTTTCCAAAATATTGCTCTAGATGTTCAAATTCTCCTACCAATTCCCCTGCAATTCACCTTTTTAGTGAATTGGCCTGCTATTTTGAAAAAAAGTATGGAGAAGTATGAAGTATGAAGAACCTTAGACCTCTGCAGCACAGAATAAACAAAGGATCAATACCAGATCTTCAAATAATATTTTTATTAAGCTTGCCGGGAACACGCAGCAATTCTGGCACATTCAAATAATATGGACTCACAGACCCCTTTTCATAGGGATCTGAACAATAGAACCACGTGTTACCTTGAATTATCTCCAAAATCAGGTAACAATGCCACCCTGTATTTGATTTTGCCAATAACATTAGATGGGTCTTCTTGCCTTGATAGGACTTCCTCACATCAAGGTTAGAGGACAGCTGTCATGTCATTGGACCTATTGCTCCTTGAGCCCATGTCAAAAACATTTTTATGACTTTCTGTCTTTGAACTCTTGTTTCCTCAGCCTATAAGGCCTGAATGTTCTACATAGTTACATAATATTTTAGGTTGAATAAAGACACAGGTCAAGTTCAAACTTTGTGTGTGTAGTGTGTGCTTATGTGTATATGAGTCCCTGTGTGGTCTTAATTTTCAAGAGTACCTATACCCCTGTATGTTACGGCCTCTTATGAAGGTATCTAATTTCTTTTTGAACGAATCAATATTCTCTGCAGATACCACTGCTTGTGGCAGAGAGTTCCAAAATTGAACCACTCTGACTGAAAAGAAGCCCCTACACCCTTTTGTGGATACACCCATGCCCGGTATTGTGACAGTCCGGAACAAAGTCGACTAAATAGTCCTTTATCATTCCCTCAAATAGTTTGCATACTATTGATGTTAGACTGACTGGTCTGTAGTTCGAGGTTGGCATCTTGAATATCGGCACTACCATTGCGTTACGCCAGTCACTTGGTACACTTTCAGTCATTAAGGAGTCCTTGAAAATAAGAAAGAATAGTCTTGCCATAACAAATAGTTCTACATGAACTCTAGTTACCACCATCTATAAAGCCTTAATGTCCAACTCTAATTACCTTGATCTACAAAGCTAAATGTTTCACATGTTGTTTATTCATACATCTCATTATCTATGTACTATATGTATATATGATGTTTCCACTAAGTCAGGACACAATTAATTGTGCATTATATAAATGTAGGACAGTTTGCTTACTCATTATTCTGTACAATACATTGCTAATATAAAAGAGAATTCATCTTAATTTGATATATTATATGTAATATGCTCTGCATGCTGATGCTTTCAATAACCTAACTATAATAAT